AACTCTACATACAGAACACTAAAAAGTGATTTTATATATATATATATATATATATATATAATATCATAACAGGAAAAATACAAGTATACGAGAAGAAATAAAACTTAATAATCTATGTTTAGTATAATGGAATTTTAAAAAATAACTACAATTAGTATTTGTTAAAAAGATAGGTAATGATTATAAGAGAATGAACAGAGATTAAAATATCCTCATAAAAGAATAATGAGGTAAAAAATGTTTTTGACAAAATTTCCTTATTTAATTTAACTCCGCCTATGTTTATAGCTGATCTCAAGTCCAGGTAAAAAAGGAGGGTTGTGTTAAGCCATCAATAGCCAATGTAAAAATTTATTGAATCTATCATAAACATGAACAATAGACGTTATAATGTTAATACTAGGTCGTTGTCTGTAAGTAACGTGCTACATGGCTCGAGTATAGTGATAAGTGAGTTAGAGCTGCTGCATTGGCGCCTGGATGTAGTGTTAAATAAGCAAGGACTACTGCATCATTCTGGACGTGCACGGCTAAAGAGGTTAGTCCATGAGAGCAAAATTAGATTTGATATTTGAAATGTTAGAACATTGAATTGTAAACTTGTAGAGGTTATAAGAGTTATGATTCAAAGGAAAATCAATATCCTCTGCCTACAAGAAACAAAATGGCATGGAGAAGAAGCTAAGGATATTCAAGATTTCAAACTTTGGTATACAAAAAAAGTAAGCGTACGCAATGGAGTAGACATCATTATGGATAAGGAGTGGAAGAAGAACGTTGTAGAAGTTAGCAAAGTTGGAGACAAAATTATTTCCTTAAAAATGATAATTGAACGTGAGACTGTTAATATTATTAGCGCTTATGTGCCTCAAGTCGGGACAGAAGCTAGTCTTAAAGAATATTTTGGGAGGATTTGGAGGAGTTGATTCGACACATACCACAGAGTGAAAAGATTTTTATTGGAGGAGACTTTAATAGGCATGTCAGGAGGGAGGCTGGTCAATATGCAAGGGTGCATGATAGTTTTGGTTTTGGAGAGCTAAACAATGAAGGACAAACTCTTCTTGATTTCTCATTGGTGTATGATTTTAAGATTACCAACACTTGTTTCAAGAAGAGAGATGAGCATCTCATCACTTATAAAAGTGGAGCCTCAAGGTCACAGATTGATTTTCTTTTAGTTAGGAATACAGATAGAAGACTTTGTAAGAATTACAAGGTGATTCTCAGGTATGCTATAACAACACAACATAGGGTCCTAGTCCTTGATGTGTGTATTATGAGTAAAATTCAAAAACATCGACAAGTAGTAGCACCAAGAATTAGGTGGTGGCAATTAAAAGGTGAGAAGCAAGATATTTTCAAGTAGAATCTTTTGAATAAAAGAATTTGAAAATCTTAGGAAAGTGCTAACATCATGTGGGAGGATATAAGATACGAGAGGTTGCAAGAGTAGTTTTAGGAGAATCAAAAGGTTTTGGTCCGAGAAATAAGGAGTTTTGGTAGTGGAATAATAGTGTACAGGACAAAATCAAGCATAAGAAGAACTTTTTTAAAGCCATACATTTATGTAACAATGAGAAAAATTGGGAGAGGTACCATATGGCTAAGAAGGAAACTAAGAGAGCTATGAGTGAAGCTCGTTCTAAAGCTTTTGAAGAATTTTATAAGAGCTTGAGACAAAGGAAGGAGAACGAAACATTTATGAGATTGCTAAAAGTAGGGAAAGAAAATCAAGAGATCTAGAATAGGTAAGGTGTATTAAGAATGAAGAGGAAAGAATTTTAATTACAGATGATGAAATTAAAAATAGATGAGAGACTTATTTTTCTAAACTTTTCAATGATAGAGAAGGTTCATTTAGTAAATTAGAGGATTTAGGAATTGGTGAAGGAGAACAAAATTTTTCATTCTATCGAATAATACATGATAAGGAGGTAAAGAAAGCTCTTAAGAAAATAGCAAATGGTAGAGCCAACGGACCTGAATGTATATCTATTGAAGTGTGAAAATGTTTAGATGAAGAAGGGGTAAGATGGTTAACTAAGTTATTTAATGTGATTATACGGTCCAAGAAAATGCCTGATGAGTGGAGGAGAAGTACATTAATTCCTATTTATAAAAATAAAGGAAATATTCAGAATTGTACTAACTATAGAGGGATTAAACTCATGAGCCACACAATGAAATTGTAGGAGAAAGTAATTGAGTATAGGTTGAGATTGGAGACAAGTATTTCTGAAAATCAGTTTGGTTTTATGCCAGTTAAATCGACTACAGAGGCAATTTATCTACTAAGGGGATTAATGAAAAAAGTATCGTTGTAAAGATAAAGATTTACACATGGTTTTTATTGATTTGAAAAAAGCTTATGACCGTATAACAAGAGAAGTGCTTTGGAAAGCTTTGAAAAAAAAAAGGAAGTACAGATTGCTTATATTAAAGTCATACAAGATATATATGAGGGGGTAAAAACTAGTATAAGAACGAATAGTCATCAAAAAAAAGATTTTCCTATAAAGATTGAACCACATTAGGAATTATCTTTGAGTCCTTATCTGTTCAACTTGATCTTAAAGGTTTTGACAGAACATATTTAAGGGAAAATTCCCAAATGTATGCTCTTTACGGATGATATAGTTCTTATAGCAGAGACAAGAAAAGAGGTTGATTGCAAACTTGAGTTATGGAGGAGGATATTGGAGTCAAAAGATTTCCGTCTGAGTAGGAGTAAGATGAAATATTTATATTATAAATTTGGTAAGAGACTAGTTGACAGTAATTTGAAAGTGAAATTAGGAGATCAAATTATACCTCAAGTGAAAAAGTTTAGATATTTGAGAGCCATTATTCAAAATGATGGCAAAATTAGTGTGGATATTTCACATAGGATTCAAGTTGGGTGGTTTAATTGGAGAAAAGCTAAAGAAGTTATTTGCAACCGTAAGGTGCCTAATAAACTTAAAGAAAAGTTTTATCGTACTACTATCAGACCGGTGATGTTATATAGTAGTGAATGCTGGGCTCTAACGGGATAACAAGAGCATAAAGTTAGAATAGTAGATATGAGAATGTTACGATGGATGTGTGAACATATACGTAAAAATAAAATTCGAAATGAGCACGTATCTGAAAAAGTGAAGGTAGCACCTATTGAAAAAAAAATGGTAGAAAATCGGTTGAGATGCTTTGAGCATGTACAAAGAAGACTAAGAGAGGTACTAGTGAGAAGAGTGAAACATATAACTTTGAGCCCGATTAAGAGGGGTAGAGGGAGATCTAAGAGAACGTTCTTGAAAGTTGTTGAACGCGATCTTTTAATTAATAATATTTCTAAAAGCTAGATAAATGATAGAGTATAATGGTGTCTTGCAATCCATATAGCCGACCTCATCTAGTGAGATAAAGGCTTATTGTTATTATTGTTGTTGTTACTTATTTGATTTGATCAATACTTAAATTTAATCCGATAATACAACCAAGTACCATATATAATTATAATAAAAACACACACACACACACAAATTTAAACATTTGGATCTCCAAATTTGATAACAAAGGCCCCACCTAACTCACCAAATAATTTGCCTCCTGTCTAAGACTATCCTTCCCCAAGCAAACAATTCAACAGCAGTGCTGTTACTTTTCATTTCCCTCTGAAACCACCAATAAAATAACATGAATTCATATCATCATTTGAATTTCCAAGTGGTTCTCAAATGAGGAGAGTTTTTTCTTTTTTTCTTTTTTTCTTTTTTCTTGTTAATGTTCAAGCGAGTGAGGACGTCATGAACAAAATAAAGTCAAGCAGCATCAAGAAAATGACTCAGGTCGGCTACTCACTCATTTTACTGTTCACAACAATAATGTCGGCGAACAGTAGTGATTCGTGCATTGAGCTTAGTGCTATTTTACCTCTTGAAAAAATTTCCTCTTCTTTTAAAGTACAAAACTCCCTCTATATTTGTAAATAGATTAAAAGGTGAAAATATTTTAAAACTTTTTTACAAGAAACATCTAGTGTCTTAAAATTTTTTTTGGAACAATGTTATCCTAAAAAATATAATTTTATCTTGACATTAACTTTTACCATTAAATAGTAACAAATGTCCACATGGCAAATTTTGTGTGAAGAGAATAATTTGCATAACAAATAAATTTCAGATCTATGATATTACTAGACTTAAAGTTTAAAAATAATTTGTTTATTTATCCAATTATAACTACAAGTTTTGGTATTATGGAACTTACACATAACTAGTTATGGGCAGAAAATGTACACAAGCTAAAAAAAAAAATACTAATGACCATATATACAAGAAATGTGATTTGAAATTAGATAAAATAATAATTAGATCCTGAAAGATCAATTTAATAATTGAACTTCCTTATTGTTGCTTGGAGGTATAAGTAATAATAAAAGAACCATGGTCAGAATTTTTCTAATGTAATAAAAAGTTTAGTGGTACCTTTTCAAATGCTGATTCCTATCTCCATAAAAACATGAACTTTTTTTTTTGGGTTTATAATTTATAAGAGAGTGCTTCACTTTTTAAGAAAATAAATTCAACTCTTCATAGTAAATATAATACATCATACATATGTAGCGTGTCTAGATATCTTCAAACACTTGTTTGAACTCCTATTTTATTGATATCACTTGAGACTAATTAAGATGATAAGGGTGCGGTGGGATGTGAGTCTAAACCCTCTTAATGTATGGAATAAAACTCCTACTTCATTCCCCGCGCCTCGGGGGGAGGGGGAGGGGGGAGGTGGGAAGAGTGAATGCTGTCCCCACAAGGTTTATTTAAAGAAGAAAAACAATGTCATTGCGTCAAATCCAATATCCCAATCCTCTCGTATCAGAATGAAAATGACAGGTTTTATTCCAAAAATTGCATTTCTGGAACTTCATACCAAATACAGAAACGTATTACTCTCTTGCAGCATACATAAAGATTCAAATCAGTACAAAAGCTTACTTAAACACTAGTAGAAATAATAAGCTAGTAGTGAATCAAAATATCCCACTCAGGTAACATTCATTAGTTTACCTTGTGCAAAAAACATTAAGTTTCTTGACTATCATGTTTTTTAACAAAACATAGCAAATACCTAAATTCCGCATTTGAATTTAATCATTTACAAATTGTGATTCAGTATTCAATTGTTTTGTACTGACCTAATGAGCAGGGCATTTTTTCTCTTTTTTTAAACAAAAGCGCCTGTACACTCGTGCTCAAAGTCTAACCACCTGCTTACTCTGGCTAGTCTGATGAATCTCTGAAGTTTGCTTTCTCACTTAATTCTTCAAATTCATCCACAAGATTCTGAAGTCTTGCAACGAACTCAATTAAAAGTGAAGCAAATGTTGCTAAAGACAAGGAACTTGCACTTTCATATACAGCGGAATTTTCCTCATCCATCACATTCATGGCATCTGCATCAAGCGGGAGAAAAGGCCATGATCCCATTTTCCTGACATTATCTACAGAGCTCCATTTCCGGATGCAAGAGTCTTTCGAAATATCCTTTGCTTCACTTTGTGGTGGCATGTGATCCTGTATCAAATTCTCGGTTTGTTCTAATTCATTGGGATGTCTTGCAGCTTCCCAGCTCTTGGAACTGACTAGAAGGAACGATTGTTGATCGATCTTTATTTGCAATTTCTTGGCTGCCTCGTGCACTTCAAACAGTATGCCTCTCCCGCTCAACTTCTCCATCTTTTGAACTTTGCTTCCAAGTAAACGTAGTATTTTTGTTCCTTCAATCCCAACCTTTTGAAGCTCTTCTCGAAAGACCTGCCTCTTTTCAGGTGGTGCCTGCATTTATTGAATAAATTAGAAGGGAACCTTAAAAAGAATGCATCATCATGATTTTCTGTACTTGGCCTTTTTTCCTGAGATTTCACATTTAGTTTGTGGGCAGACAGTACAACCCTGAGTTTTTTTCTAATAAAAATGATCAAGAAGTGTTCAAATAGAGAAATTTCCTAGTTCCTTAGACTCTAGCTTCTTTTACTTAGGAAAGATCAGATAGCATTAGAACGTGCTATTCATTCAAACCATATATGGTCTTTTAAAAGAGAATCCCAGGCGAGGTATACCTGGCACTCATTTTAAGTTGTTTGAAGCAAATGATAATCTCATCATCAAACAGTAATAATTACTATAAATCTTTCACTTACCACATAGAATAAAAAGAAACATCAACTGACGGTCTTACCTGTATTTCTGAAAGTATGCACCCATGCATTGCCATGACCATCAGAGCACAATGCCTTAAAGCTCCACTGAGTTCCACGTAACTTCTCCAAGGATAGCTGAACGTCTTGTATGGGCCGTGAGGTGGTTCCCATAATGCAAATTCTAACTTCAAGAGTAAGGTGAAATTGTTGAGTTAAATAGTACTTTCAACATTTGAATAGGATATCAGAATTGTGAGATGATAATACCAGAGACTCCTCTTGACTTGACGATTGTACTGCTGATCTGTAGCCACTGTAAAGAGGGTCATCCGAAGCTTGATAAATAAGAATTTTTGAAGGGATCCTCTCGTATTCAAAACATTGCAGGTAACCATTTACACAACCTAAAGAAAGTAATACTGATATTAGCTACATTCGTTGTCAGTGGAAAAAAGAGCTTAAATGAGGCAATTAGACGCGAATTACATAAAGCAAGTATTTACAGGTGAGGTATCTGGAAGTTTGATCGAACCTTCTAAAGATTTGGCAACACCATTGAAATTTTTTACCACCAATTTGTGCAGATCCTCCCCGGCCCAGATGGGGCATATTAAAATATTAACAAAAAGACTTATGCCCGCACCGAGAGCAATGAAAACTAATCTTGACGCAGCTGTGAAAAAAAACTCTGACGTCCTTCTCCCAGATATCAATACAACACAAAATGTCAACAAAAAAACACGAAATCCATATTCATATGGCTTCATTGCAGGGTACTGTTTGACATACGTGATAAAAAACCCTGCAAAACACAAAAGTAGCAGTGCAGGCATAAAAAATAGAAATTTTCTGTAATAATGAAAAGGCATGACAAAGCCAAGGCATAACAGCAAGTGCAATGAATTATCTTCCCACAAGCAGAGGTAGCAAATGAAAAATATAAAGGGCTGAGCTAGCCGTCAGATTGACTAATATCACACAAACTATAACAAGTTCAAAAATAAACGTCTAACCTGCTATGAACAGATTGATTGTAATAACAAGCTCATTATAACTTCCAGCTAACACGGATAATCGTGCAATACCCAGAGCAAGCCCTCCTGCAGAAAATGTTCCCAGAGCACGATTGAATCCTTTGGTAAGGGTTGCACCTACCATAGAAGAAAGGAAAGGGGGAAAATTAAAAAACTAATCGCAATCTTAATTAAACTTGAGAAATTAAAACAACACCATCAATGTGAAAATTCTCTCCATTCTCTCACCGTTTCCTTTTACAAAATGAGCATAACATTATAATTATTACCAACGCTGAATTCAAAAACGACAACGACCGTGAGAATCGCCCAAACGGAGTACCGTGTAAGCTTGCTGAAAGGAGAATGATCCTGAATATATATAGCTAGCGAGATGATAGCTAAAGATAACCCAGCTTTCATGGCAAACAACACCTTTCGTGGATCGGAGTGACCCATCTTATATAATTTCCGATATATTTGAGCGATGCGGTCCGAAAGCGCACGGAAAACCAAGCAATTGCCTCCATTACAATATTCCAAATCGGAATGATTGCTCTTAGGAAGCAACCTTTCTCTGTTCCGCTCCACAAAACTTTGCCCCAGCAATCCAATTTTTGCTGCCATTTCTTGAACCTAGAACAAGATAAATTCATGAATAAAATCCTCTATATGACCGGAAACACGCGCATTTGAAGATGAAGACAATAATGTAATAGAGATTATGGAAGTGTTTTGAGTCCTTGCCCTTTAGGAGCGAGTTGAGATGATAGAATGTGATTGAGGAATAGCACGGAAGAACAAAGAGTAGGGGAAGAGACCTGTGCGGGTAGCCTTAAATGGCGGGGAGGGGGAAACCCCCCCAAAAATATCCGTGAAGTAATCTTCTTCTTCTTCTTCTTCTTGTTTTTTTTTTTGAACGAAAATATCCGTGAAGTAATCAAATTTTGATTTTTGACCTCTAGATGAATGGACTGGTCTCCTGGTTTTCCTCTTTGCACTCATATCAGTAGATTTTTTTTTTTTTTTTGAGGGCCAGCATATCAATAGATTAGAAGATGCAGATTCACTAAACATGTGGCGTAGTGGCTATCTCGCTTCGTTCCTTAAACATGTTATAAGGGGTTTGATTTCTCATTCATGCAAATGAAGAGCATTCTATAGTTAGTCATTTGCTCTCTTGTGAAAAAATAAATACTAATTCAAATATATATTTTTTCCTTTTTTGAAAAAATGAGATGAAATTCAGGAAAGGAGAATTCTCCCCAACATAATTACATATTATAAGATTAATTGATAATTAAGTACAGCAAAATAACAATTATATTTAATTGTGTTGCAAGGATCCTTCAAATGAGGACTCTCGCGGCATTTAAAGTGTAAAAGGGATTTTCTTTTTAACTATTTTGTGTTAAGAACTAAATGAAAAATCTTTAAAATTGAGTAATAAAAGTTGTAAAATTAATAATAAGATTCACAAAAATTGAGCATTGCACAATATAAAGCTCAACAGTGGATCCTACACTTGTTCGTTCAAATGCCTCCTCACATAAAAGGAGAAAAATGGACATTTGTTCATTAGTTGTTATTCTATTTCCCAATATGTTCAGAAAATTGAAATATTACCACTTTCTATCCAAATTAATCCAAATATTCGTTCTGTCAGAAATCCTATTGTGACCATTTTAGTGCCAGTGATAACTTCATGACACCTCGCGGATGGCTTCAATAATTTTTTATCTAATGTGGTTACATATATTAAGACTCAAATATGAGATTTCAAAATAAATTGATTCAAATTCCAATCAGTTCAACTTAATACCTCTTAATCTCTTGACCAACACTTTCATTCCATCTTGTGTCACATAATATTTTTTTTCCCCATTTGTGTATTCGTTTCAAAACCCAATTCTGTTAACCATGGGTGATAGAGAGATTAGAAGCATGACTGTCGATTGACATGAATAAAGTGATATCTCCATTTCCACATATTCATCATTCTTTTTTTGGTATGAAACTATCCATCATTTCATAACTCTCACCTCTCTATCAATCCACAATACTAATCTTACAAAACATTACGCATACGTCGAAGATGCTCCCTTGCTAAAGCAAACTGGCACGAGTTGTACCGAAGCAACCATGTGTGGTAGTTTTGAGAAGAATTACCTGAGCTATTCAAGTTGACTTTTATTTTTTGGGGTCCGTAATGACCAATTAACTGGGGGGGAAAAAAAACAAAGCATAATTGAACGTTTATGAATTTAAATATCATACACATGCACGATAAACAAAAACACCTTAAACAAACTTTTAAAAAACAACAATGTTCGCTTGCTGACCAATATGCTCGGAAAGTTAGATAGATCCAGTATTAATTTATGATTAACAGTATTTATAAGGAAAGTAAAGTGATAGTTACATTCTATCATTATATTTAAAATTATAATATTTTCTCTTTACATCACATATGCAGTCCTGCATTATTCAAAATGAAATATACAGCTCGCTTGATATGATTTTTTATCTTCAAAATTTTAACATGAAATGCCAAATTTTAGACTGAGTGAGTTTTACTAAAAATATTGGCAAAGAAATTAAAATTAATGCCCACTCTTATCAATATGCTCAAATTCTGGTTTATGAAGGGAATGACATATAGATTCTGCCATATTGATGAATGATTAACATTAGATTCTACATGAACAATTCTTTTCTTTCTTTCTTTCTTTTTGTGAGTACCCGGCATCCTATGCTTGCCCCAATTGAGCTCTGAGAACTTAACAGAGCCCAGACTAATCTAAATTAAAACATCACAAATATCACAAGAGTAAGCGTCCTTGGCCACTGATGTTGCTGCATTCTCAAAACTCAAACTTGAGACCTCTAGTTCAGCTAGAACAACTCTTGCCAGTTGATCCAAGAGCTCATGGTTTCATGCACAATTCTTTTCCATCCAACATATCACATAAACTCTAAACGTAAAACCTAAAATGTTTCGGTTTCACAAATTCTTCAAATCATGTTCATACCAATTTGATAATTTTTTGGTCACTCATAACACATTGAAAAGTATGCAAGTATAATAAATAAACATTGCACGCAAGAAAGTTAATAAATTAAGGAGTACAGAAAATGTTGAAAGGTAAATATAGGGTGTGTGTGTCAATATATTTCTTTGCAACATAAACATCCTGAACCACAGAAGTTTTTGAGTAAAATCACAACATAAGAAGTAAGTAAACCAAGTCAATCACGAATAAACCTGTAAGTATTTAATGAGTTTGGCAAGTTAACATCTCTCTCCATGAATGACTTTGTTTACTTACTACATGAAAATCGTTTCTACCTAAGAAGTTTCTTGCAAGTCACACCACTTCTTGATCCAAGCAAAGAAGATAAGCAATTAAGCCAACCACAGGGACATAGCTAAGATACTTAACTGTAAAAACCTTGGTTTCCTGGACATTTTGGAGGTTCTCCTGAATCAACCATGGCTGAAAGATGATGTAGAGGCATATATCCCATATAAATGCATACGCCAGCCTTTCTGAACCGAGATAATCCAACAAGAAATCCCATCTCTCTGCTATGCCTCCAAAATTTGCATCCATTCTACCATATAGAGCCCACCATAGAGATAGAAGACACGCAGCCCCTCCAATGATTCCCACAATTGGAGCACCCTTTGTCATTACAGCGCCTAACTGTGAGTGTTTGCTTTGAATGTTGTCATCATCAGCATCATTCAATCGGATAGCCATATATGGTATCAAAAATGCTGGTACAAGGAGAAAAAATAACCATAATAATATGTAATGTAATTGCATGATACATCAAGGAAAAGGAAAACTTTGATGTGTAGGTCTGAAAGTGATTGCCGTAAGTTTGTTGTTATTGTTGTGACAATGCAATAGGAGTACATAATGAATGCACATGTGGTGGAACGTTGTCAAAAGAATCAATTGCAAGAGAGTTGGAAAACACGCCCCCACAAACTTTTAAATGCAGGAGAGTTTATATTTTTGGAAGTACTGTAACACGTGTCACATGCGGTGGAACTTTATCAAAAGAATCAATTGCAAGAGAGTTGGAAAACGTGCCCCCACAAGCTTTTAAATGCAAGAGTTTATATTTTTGGAAGTACTGTAACACGTGTGTAGTAATAATCTATTATTGTGGTAGATATTTCAATAAGGTTAGAAGTAAGCCAAGAGACCATGCTAATTTTTGCTTTCTAAAAAATGTTGCTCTCTCCAGTAAAAGAAACTTGGGTGATTCATAAAGCAATTTCATTATATGCATGGCAAAATCCAGGAAGTGAAAAGGAAACATTGCATTTAAAAAGAAAGCATAATGCTAGTGCCTATCAACGGTTTTTGTTAAATGTTAAAATAGAAATTAAAACCGGTTGCTGCCACTAAATCAATATATCAATGATAAAGATCTAGCCCAAGTCGCACTACTTACAAGTCATGAATGATAAAACTTATTTTTCAATTTTCGCATAATGCATGGGGAATCAACCAGTCAAGCAAAGAAAATAGTATGAAACATACTGTTTGTCAGGAACATCTGCAGGCCCCAAAGTACATCCAGAGATCCTTTGTATCTATTCCTCTTACGATCTGTGAACAGCAGAGGGGCAAACATGAATGTCCAGCCAATGACAAAGTTGAATAGTCCTTCAGACATCTGAAGCAACAAACTCGGCAACATCAGAAAGATTTTCTAATCACATTGTGTGCGCTCCATTGGATACAAATCAAATTATTAACTTCGTTCAATGATGCTTACAGGATGAAGAACTGGAGCCTCCATCACACGAATGCCAACTACTCTGCCAAAAATTTGATTGCAGAAGTCACTATAAGTAAGGAAAACCATAATATTCTTTCTTTGAAAACCCCATACAGTAAACAGAATACACACCGAATAATTCTTCAAAAACTTAGGTCTGCTGCATACATGTGTATGCGCATTTATATTTATATTATGTTAAAAAACTGGCTATACTAAAGCAATCTTCCCTTCTCCAAAAGGATCTGCTCCTGCTAAGAGAGAGAAAGAGAAAGGAGGACCCGTTTATTAATCAAGAGAAAACGTTACCCTGTACTTGTTGATCCAGCATCATTTAAGCACCCAAGAACGTACTACTTTTCCATTTAAATTGACAAAGAATCATAAGTAATATTTAATGCAAATATTATCTCAGAATCATGGAAATTCTCTAGGTACCATCTTGAAAAAACAAAAAGAAAAGAACACAAGATCATCGCCTCATTAAACAGAGAAACCCTAACCAATCTATTCACAAATACAATTATACAATTATGGCAGGAAGTAGCTTGACCAAAAATAAGGAGCAGATTAATTTTTGAGCATTAATCAGACTTAATGACAATGGAAGGCCCATAGATTCAATATGGCTCAAGATTCTCTGCCATGCAACCAAAAGCAATCAATCTGCATTACGCAGGAGCAGTAAGTAAACATAGTCAACGTACCAAAGTTTGAGAAAGGCAGTATGAAAAAGAAGTTGAGAGAAAGGCCCACGAGAGAGTTTATTGTGTCTTTACTGATGGCCCATACAGGATCTCCCTGATACAAGTGAAATTTAAGATTTTAGCTTCTTTTCTCAAAAGACAAAAAGGTCAAATCAAATATCTCCGGTATTATATATTAAAAGTCAATACATGTGGAATACAACGTCAAGGTATCATATGTCATGTGGATTGCCAGCACAAGATAAGAGAGGAGGGGGGAAGTTTTCTCAACAAAGCCACATCCCACATGAGCAACTTGGTTAATAATCATATCACATAGAAAGACGCAACATCACACAAAATAAAGGCATTACTTTCTGTCAATGATCGAATGATGATGCTGAAACAAACACTAGCCCAGATGACCACTTTCATCTTCCAGTAGTTAGTAAAGACAAAAGGAGTCTCTGATTCCCTTAGACTATCAAGAATTACTCAACTCAAAAGCTGAAGTAATATCAACTACTATTTCAACCCAAAAGCTAAGTTGTCACGTAAAGACAAAAGCTAAATGTATCTGACATGCGCATCAAAAGATGTGTAGAAAATTCCAAAAGATGAAAATGTAGTTGTTTAGTGCTTTTCACTTGGCTCATTGATCAAATGCTATCCAATCCAATCCAAGTATTATTTAAAAGTTGTTAGCCTCTAAAAGTGCCTTGTCAACCAAAAAAATATCAAGGATCAAGCAAATCTCAGAATTCTGCTCTTCGATGTTGAGCAAAGAGGCAGAGACCATCTATGGATCAGGTTTTCCTTATGAATAAATCCATTAACGACCAGAAGGTGAAACGATGAAAAGGTTAGCTCCAAAAGTGCCAAAGAAAATGCTCTTACTCTTTTGAGATCTCTTGTCACCAAGCATTGCAACACAGTCCAGTGTTGCTTTTTTCACAGTTCAAAACAAACAGATCATAAGTCAAAAAATACAAATGATTGGAGATTAACTAAAGATGTTCAAGACGGCATGCCTAACTGAACGAGAGACCACAATCACAAGCAGCAACTTAAGAAAGCAGAGAAGAGGAACCTTTCACATAAAAAAACTTGCCACGAAGATTGTTTTTCTCTCTCGCGCAACAGCCAAACAAAACAAAAGCAGAAAACCAAAATGAAAGAAAGAAAGAAAACAAAGGAGCATATTCATGTGCTATTTATGTACTAGATACAATAGTTTGCTTCACCAGCCGTACAGATTTCATAACATAATGTAAGACTGAAAGCTTCCACTTAAAATGAAACAAATAACGAACATTGATAATGCAGTGAGAACTAGCCAGATACAGTCCAATCACATGTTACTTAGCCTCCTCTCAATCACAAGTTCACTACGATTAATTCGAAAAATAAAGCTAAATTTCCACACAAAAAAAAAAAATTACACAAGAGGGTGAGGCAAGCATTGGAAAGGGCACTACGTACAGGGGCAAAAGGAAGCAGGAAGAGCCAGCCAATGTAGATACCCTCAGCGATCCACAAAGCAATTTGGAGCACTCTTTTTGTGTTGTCATCGCCCTCCTCGCCTGAAGATACGGTTGATACTGTAGGTTTGCGACGTGCAGCGTAGCATGAAAGGGTCCTCGATTTGATGAGTGGTTTTGTACATAAACTTGAGGTGTAGTCAAGAGGTTTAGGTCTACGCAATTGATGAAGATAGAGTGAACATTTTGCAGTACAGGGCTTCGACGAAAGAAAGGCAAAGCTGCTGAGGAGCAACGTTCGGGACGACGTCGTTGTGGTCATCCTCGTCATCGTCTTCACTGCAGAGAAGAGAAGCTCAGGCGTTGCGTGGCTTCGTTGTGAGCACTCAGCAGTGATAATTATTAATTCATAATTATGCGACAGGAATGCCATTTTTGTAATTCTAAATTTCAGACAAGGGCATATTCAGAAAGAGAGAGACGACGTCGTCGTTTCTCAATATCCCAGTCCCCCCATCCTTTGTCCGTTATTTTTATTTTTATTTTTATTTATTTATTTATTTATTTTGCCACAATCCTATGTCCTTCGAAAATGGTGCTGGCTCATGGAAGAAAAGAAAACAGACATTTCCCAGCCCATTTTTCTCGCGTTCCAAACAAAGTTTTTGTAGCAAAAATCAGGCCTGTTTGGATACACATCCAAAAACAAGCTTGGATCCCAAATCATGGTCTTTAAAAATCTTATGTAAACACCATCAATTTTTTCACACTTTATTTGTTTTTTGAAACTCCATTTGTCATAAGTCATTTTTTCTACTTAAAAATCAATTCTTAGCATTCAAGCATTTTCCATTTTCTCCATCTTTATAATTGATTATAAAAAATTATTTAAATATTTCTATAGATCAATTTCAACAAATATTATCCAAACATCATCATGTAATCAATTTTTGTCAACTGAAATTCAAGCACACCCATCATCATCAAAACCATGGTTGCTCTCCATTCCATTATTATAGGATAGTAAAAAGATGGTCAAAGATTGATTTGATATGGTCTAAACTTTATATCTTTCATGAAAGGCTGATTTGTGAAACTTAACTCATTTCAAAAAATTTCTCACAAATTTCAATATTTTGATTATGTTGCAATTATTTTTTTTAAGTATACTTATATGTTAACTAGGACTTCTAGTTCATATCTTTTTTTCAAGGATGACACGTGTCTTTTTAAAAGAGGATATTACTAAAACTAAGAATTTAGTATGCTTAACTTTAACATTCATTTTTTTTTATAGATAAGGCCTCGGACAAAGCCATGAAACAAACAACTAACTAATTCATATAAGAAGTTAGATTGTTCTTGCATCTAATGAAGAGTCGTAAGGCCGTTGAAAATTATGATTTTTATGCTATGTTGATTTGATTGGTAGGCTAACCAATCCGCACGCCTATTTTATTTTTTAAAAAGATGATCCAATGCAACAATGTAATTTATTATTAAGGTATTTGATCTTCTTGATGATATGAAAGGATAATTTTGTAAATGCTCATTACATATGAGATTGATTGATTCAAAGGAATAAAAAAAAACATTGCTATAGAGTGTTTCTCATTCCAACAAGTATTAAGATTTTGCCGAACAGTTTAGCTATTGTACTTGGTTGAATTCCAAGATATTTCTGTTGTATGTGTATCAAAAGTGTGTGTGTGTCAAAGTTCTACATTGACTAAAGGAAGGAATCTCCTAGTATATATATATTAAGGAATGAAGTGAGCTAGTAAAATGGGCTTGGAGGAGAAGTGGCCTCGTTCACATGAGACAGGCTAACTCAGGGCAATCGCAGTTGAAATCAACCGATTCGCCCCCCCTACACGCGAGTTCAAGAGATAATGGGTTTCTTTTACCGAATTATTTTTACAAAATAAATAATTATTTTTTACCTTGCCGGAAAAACTTAAATTTTGGCTGTCTGAAGTTTGAAATTTTTTGATCATTAACCAAATTAATTTTCTGAACGTTTTGCCTTCCCAACGTTTCCAAACAGGAGGTTAAATGCAGTTTACATTTGTGTAACCTCTCCATTTTCAGACAAGCTTTTAAACGATTTTATGACAGTGTAACCGAGCCTTTAATCTGGTGGTAACCCTCCAACGTTCATGTCCACCTTCGGGCTATATATAGCCATGTGTGCAGACATAACAGTGCAGAGTCTCTTGACTGCTCAGTGTTCTCTCCTCTCCTCCATCTGTTTTCATTTATGCATTTGGTCTCGGTTGTTCTGTTCCCTCGTTCCATCGAGGAAGTGCTTGTTTAATTTTGGAGAATTGCCAGTCGTCTGAGGGTGTGCCGGAATAGCTTTTAAGGACAGTGTCCTTCCGGGCACAACTCGAGCAACCCGTACCTTCCCATTCGCGTTTCTGCCGGTCACCTCAACAATTTCATGAAAAAATTCCTTGTGCATCTAGAATGAGATCTATGCAAGAAGTAGTTTGTCCACATCCAATCTAACCTCAACCACCTAGAATGCATATCTTTTTGATGTGGTGACAAAATGTTCATCCTCACTTCCAACTTAAGATCGTTTATAATGTTTTCAATGTTGATGTAAGCAGCATCTCTTTCAGTGAAAGCTATCTTCAAGATATAAGAAGCTACATGTAGCCCTCCAAATGTTCCGGTAGACTTGGACAAACAGTCTTGGCCAGGCAAAGTATTTAATATTTATGCTTCAATACACCAAACTCAATACTTTTTTCCCAAAACACGAAGTCCAATAGGGTCCATTGACACAATTCACTAAAATACTACATACTATGAAGACGAAAATGGGCTCCTTTATTTTGGAGGAAAAAATAATCTTGTAAGGAGATTCAGTCCATAAACAACTAGATAATAGACCAAATTAATTATGAATGAATATACACACACAATAATATTATCTATCTTGCAGAAACATGTAAAAACTTCTGGCACACAAGCTAACCCAGGTAAGATATTCAACAATGTCTCATTTTGGTGAGTATTTATAAATTCTGAGCACAGCCAGCGGATGGCAGTGGCACAACTGAAGATTTCTGCTCAGTAAGTCCGCACATGTCTCGTCCGCACAGAAAACGGCCTCTTCTGCAAGTCCAACTGTGGTGTGCTCTGCATCTTGGATGCTGACACTGGATTTGGAGCTTGGTGCCTGGAGCTTGGTCCAACCTCCATGTCAGCACTGAAAGGTAGCTCTTTTTCTTGACTTTCAACCTCAACCTCAACTTCTTCATTCATAGGCACACTGTTCTGCTTCAAAACCTCATGACCTGAATCTGATCTTGAAATGTATTCTTGCTTTCCCAACCTCTCTGCACTCCTGTCTGACTCCTCTTCTCCTTGGTTTTCACTGAGAGTTTCATTGTGTTCAAGTTGAGACGCAGCATTTACAGGATCGCGCCCATTCAATACTTTTCTTTGTTGAGGGCTAGTACCATCCTGAGTGAGATTAGATTGACGCATGAGGTAAACTCTGATCACGAAATAGAATATAGTGTTTGAAGTATTTGTGCATTTGTTATTAAATGAATCTCATCACGGACAAAGATGCTCAGATGAGTACTGATAGCTAGAACTTTCACTCCAACTTCACCAGAATAAATGGCTATCAGAGGAAAAAAAAAATCCATAGAATTTATTCTCCCATTAATTAAATTCTGAGGTGAGCTCTAAAGGCCTAATGAGTGCCAGAAGTCTAGGCTGTCCTATCTTCTAACCAAAACCAAACAGCAAAAAGTTGTGGTTGCGCCTAAGCCTATCTCTCAAACTGGATCATGTAACATGATGGTTTTTATATAACATAAAATAAATTCACATAAACTCATGATTAATAAAATTCTTACACTCGGATCATCATTATCATGTGGTTCGGACCGGTAGAGTTCCATTGCTGCTCTAGCAGCTGCTGCTGCATTTGCTGCAGACTCAAAAGCTGCCTGTGCTGCATCAGCAACATCCTTGTACTTTTCTCTAGCCTTAAAGGAATCAGATAACCAATCAAAATTTCCTCCTTCAGGTAAAATGTGAAGGTCCTGTTTCTCCCTGAGCTTAAGTTCAGGTTGGTTTTGTGTTTTTGCATTCAGTTGTTCCTGCATTGAACAACACCAGATTCTGAAACATAAGTTGTTCTTTTAACTTTGAAGTTTGCTGTCTCAGCTAGTGCCACCTTAATTTATATACCTCAAAAGATAAGGAAGAAGCTTCTTCAAGCTGCAGAACAATACTGTTCTGAGCAGCAATTTCTTTTAGTGCCTTCATTCTTCTCTCCAAGTTTGGCATCCTTGTTGACAGCTTTTGGACCATCTACAGGTACCACAAGAAAAATGAATTATATCACTGACCATGAACATTATTCCCTCCGTATTCAAATGTAAGCAAATTTTAACCAACTCACACAATTTAAGAAAGTTGATTAAGCATGATAATTATTTCTAAAATTAAAAATTTTGGACTAAAATATCCTTTAAAATTAATCTTTAACATGTGAGGGAATCGAGTTTGTCTCATATAAAAACTGATTTTATAAGAGGTAGTTTGGGAAAAATGTGATAACTACTTCTTGAATTTTGTCATTTTGCTTATGAAAAAAAACAATGAAGCATATGACATTTTCTTCAGGGAGTACTACATAAAGAAGTTTACTTGAAACTAATATGAAAAGAAAGGTTCTCTGCTTTTGGCAGCAAAATATTGTAAGTCAAAGATCTCAAGTCTTTAAACTAAGTTTGCATCCACTACTAGTGATGGATGCTTCATGATGATCTTTCATCAAACACATTGACTCTTCTATTCTTCTTGAAGGGTGTTACAACTTGAATTAAGTAAAAAAGCACATCCCAAAGGATTTCTCTAGTGCGTGGAAGGATATTCCAAGACACAAGTAGATTTTGAAGTCCAAATAATCATTGAATGTCCTTCAAAATAGGGTTTATCTGACCATCCACTTAAATTTAAGGAATAAGGAATAGGTTTCTCTTTTACAGGTTACATATTTGCACTTTTATTTGCCAACTTTGAGCACTAAAGTAATTTTTTTCAGCGTGATCTTAAAACTAACTGATGTGAAGTGTGAATGTCATATTAAAACAACAGTTGAGAAAATTAGACAAACAATGTGAGACTCACAATACTTCTCTGCTAGAAACTATTAGATTAACAATGCCCATGATGAAAGTTGCCCCTTCAGATATCATTTCAACTATAGCTCAAATATCAGTTCATCTTAAAGTCTTAAAATTCCTTTCACTGAGAATGCTTGAATCTGAAACAGTCAGATAGTTATATAAAAAGAAATCCCTTCAGATATTTTAAAGTAGTTGAAAGGCTCAGGGAGACAACACAAGACTTACAACATTTAAACTCTCAATGAAAGCTACAATTGTTATCATATAAGCAAAAAGATGATAATCCATTCCGAAAGTATATATTATTTCATGAGAGAACCTCAATACATTATCTGATATCAACATGAAATGGATTCACTGCTCATGACAGTGATAACCAACACCAGAAAATTCCTAACAGGACATGCTTATGTAACAATCTCAGACCTATAAACTAATTCAGAGGCAGAGTTTTTTTGAAGGCCGGCACCTATAATAGCAACATCAGCCTTATTCTTAAAAAAACAAAAAGCAAAGAAATACCTGAGGATGGACACCACAATTGTTGCGTAACTCAACAGAACGAGCTGTGAATTCTTTACCAAAGCGACATGTTAAAGCTGCACGAATTTCTTGGAGCTCTGGAAATTCTCCACACCTTGATGCTCCGTACAGTAAACCTGCTATGGCCTCCTTAAGCTCCTCAGGACATTCTCTGCAACATCATCATCATCAACAACAACCATAGGTTCAACAACAAAACCCACATGTCTCGAGGAGTTTGAAGCTGTTTGAGTTCTTTATAATTTTATTTCATTTATTAGGCTTGTTGTTGTTGTTGTTGTATCTAACAAACTACCTTCACATATATAGACATTGAAACTTTCAGACCAATCATTAAACATTAAAAGAGTCAGTGCCATTTCAAAATTGAGAAGAAGTGAACCAACCTTTCTTGTTCAATGAGGCGAACCCTTTCGATCAAGAGGTTGAAGTATCCTTCAATCTTATCATACACATCCATCATATCTTGCTCCTTGATCACATGCTCAACCTGTAACAAGATAGGGACTTTCAAAACCCAAGAACTACAAACAAGTTCATATTCATAAACTACAATGAAGACTGTTTCATATGTTTATCACAGCTGTATCTTACTCGAAGCAAAGCTCGTTCATGGTGACCGAGTTGGAGGAGTTGAAGAACATCAGAAAGGGCTTGTTTGGATCGTGTTTCTCTTTGGTTCTTGAGAACAGCGAGGCGAGCAATGGCAAGGTTGACGAGTGGGATGAACTTTGTGGCTTTGAAGCTTCTTCCAAACAGAGCATCAAGCTTCTTCCCCATAGCATCAAGCTCAGTTCAGAGTACAGAAAAGAGCAAAGAAAGTAATGGCTTTTAATGTCATTTTCTTGCAGTGTTTAAATTGAAGCAATATGATTAATCTTCAACATTTTCTAATTGTCGTTTCTTTTGACATTTATGGCATGTATAGATTAGTGATGAAGGAGAAAAACACAGCTTTTGAAAGAAGATTTAGAAACTACATGGCAAATGACTGAAGTGTCATTTTCAGTTGGTTCCTTTAAAACGCGGTTTTCAGCTTCTCAGAAAATTTCATATGATGAAGTTACAGTGACAGAAATGGAATATTATTCATTGTCAACAAATATGGAATGATAAAGACCATTCACATTTCACAATTTATCGTTTGTTAAATTAGACTGGTTGGTTAGAATATAAGACACCAATTCCACCTAATGATATATATTTGTGCAAGACGGCATTCGAATCTTCCTGTGACACCAAATTATATATCTGGGTGCCTGAGATTAAAAAACTATCTCATTTTTATACCAAAAAAAATAGTTGCTGTATTCACTCATTATATATTTGCATGCTTATTTTTAAATAGAATATGAATTACAAATTGACTTAGAAATTTACAAAATAGGAAAAATTACCATCAAGTTACTGTAAGTGAGAAAAAAATGACAAGTTAAATCCTCATCCTCATTTTTCATTATAAAACGAGGAATATTAGTTACAAATTAGTGTTGCAAAATTACAAATTAATAAACATTATTGTCAATTTTTTAAAAGTGACAAAAACTAGATAATTTACATTTATTTTTCTATTCTAAAAAATTTAGCACGAATAATCCCTAATCTATAATTTTATTAGTATTACTTTATATCTCGTTACTCATTTCCTTATTTTATGATGAAAAAAATAGAAATTTAACTTGTCCATTTTTTCACTAGACACTAATTGTTCTTGATTTGCAACTTTTGATGAGGTGGTTTGCGAGTCATATTTCTCTTTTTTATAACAAGGTTATTTTAATAAATTCACTTTTAAACTCAACTCATTAAAAGGAACTTTTATGCTCCTGAATTGAAATTTCCAAATCCTTTAGTCCTAAAATAAAATTAATTCATTTTTTTTATCCTCAAATATCATCCCGCTAAATATCTTCCCCTATGGGGAACATTGGACTATATCCTCTTCACCACTTTACACAAATACGTAGGAGATTAGTATAACAGTACACACGCATGAAAATAAATATAAATTTCTTATTTATAGCTCCGAAAATAACAAACCATTAACAACTGAACAGAATTTCTGCATTTTCTAGTTTTTTCACTCCATAATTTTACAACCATTGAGGCGAAGCCAATGTACACGCATGATTCAACACATATAAGGATATTGAAATTCATCGAGGAATACAATATTGAAAGATTTGAATTCTCCTCAGTCTAAGGAAGAGAGGTACGACAATGTTGAAGACCATTTTGAGAAGTAAAATAGTGTCGTACCTAAATGGTACCATAGTCGTTTAGGGCAGTTCACACGCCACGCCAAAGACCTATATCAGTGGTGGCGTAAAGGACGTACGTACAGGTCATCAAGTAAATTCCATTGTAGCAGTCGTGGAAGCTTTGGTGCATCAGTGGCATGCAAGAATTCAACTTCAATAGTGTAAACTGTTCTCACAAAGTAGGTAGTGCATTTATTGATTTCTCTGTAATGACAGAAAAAGCAGTCCTAGTTCACATTTATTGAGTGCCCATAAAGCGTTCGAAAGTCTAAGTGACTGATTCATTCCACCGACATTCTCGCTGTTCAGGTGATTGGATGAAACCGTAGATCCTCTGACACGATGACATTACGTTGATCACTGGAATACAAAAGTTTTTTGGGAGAATTACATGCCTTTTAAAAACACTAACCACAGACAGAATAAAATGAATTATTATTTAAATACAAAACATAACATTTTTTTTTAAATGGAACTTTTTGTTGATCCTCATCCGTCATTAACTTTCTTGAAAGGAAGCCGACTGTAATTCTTCCATTATTTTTCTATGAATTGATAAAAATTTTAATTTTTCAAGTTTCAACCTACTAGTGATCTTTGATGATGGTAGGGGGCCATTTGATTCAATTGTAAGTAATGCAATACAATACTAATTAACACCCGTTTGTTTGGTAATCCCCCTGTTTTCATTTATAAAAGAAACTATTATTTTTAATTTTTTTTATATAAATAAAATTATATTTTTAATAAACATTTAATACAAACTTCATGAATTACCTCTCAATAATTTTATCATCCACAGTCATAAAAGACAATTAATAAAAATTTCATTAACACAATTAATGAATATTATAATTCAATTTTTTATTTTTAAACATAATTAATATAAAATAAATTACAAAACAGTTCTAAAAAACAAAAAATGAGAACAAAAACCAAACACACCTTAAACTGTGATAACCAGAACTTTCCAGCGACAACTAGTAGCTTCTATTCTAATTCAAGCATCTCACTATAATGCCCGAATATTAACGTGTGGACTAAAATCCCAACAAAATCACTCGACATTTTAGTGAAGCAGCAACAGGACGAACAAGAAGTTAAGAAAAGCATTGGCACAACAAAGTAAAAGTTCACAAGACCTAGTTGCCATAATACCTAGACACTAGACAGTTAACACAGGTCGGAATTCAGGGCACCCACCTCATCTTCAATACAACTATGACCCTCTAATCAAAGTTCAGAACAATAGGGCACTCAAGCAAGATAACATTGCTGAATTAAGTAGCCAGAACAAAATAACCGACAGATGATATAAAACTCGAGTAATAAGCCACACTTTTCATGTGTCAACATCAATAACACTCGTCAGACCCAAAATATTTACAACATAAAAAACAAATCCTAGGGCACTGTCGAGTGCTTTTTTTTTTTCCTTGCGTTTTAATAATCCATCTACATGAGCACGAGGAAGATGCCAGTTAACACCAGAAATAAGGCACATACAGACGTCTTGTGTTACAGCTTGTGTCAAAGACCAGGCTTCATAAAAATGATCCTCAACATCAGAGGTAACCATACCTCGACCCATTATCGTAAGAATCATACATCGGCATAATCTTATTGCTGCATTTCCTAGTTTCAGGTTTTGCAAGTGCATATGATAACATAGTTGCATTTGAGAGATAAATAGACGCAAGGGCACCATCTTTCATGAGCACTAGCATAAAATAGGTGATTTTAAGACTGGTGATACCAGCAGCAGTGCAGCACGTTCTATTTGATGAGATTCGAATTTGGATCAAGCAAACATAATGCAAATGGTGCTAATAAAAACCCCAAGGTTTATTGAACACCCCCCCCCGGGGGGCTCTTTCAAGGTTTATCCATTAATCAAACATTAGAGCAGATTATAGCTTCTCAAATAATCGAACCATCCATTACCCCAGCATCATAGCTCATAATTCCATTGGATGAAGTTCATAATTATATGGGCATTCCCCTTGTGTGCAAAAGATACAAAAATGTTAAAAATTTAATCACTCGACAATATATTAGCATTCCCTCCAGCAAAACATCTGGATCCCGCAAAGGTAATGCCAATGGTGATGATAAAAGACTCCTATGCAGGAGAGAGCAGGGTGGCTGGAGCCATCGAATCAAATTGAGAGAACCGCTGAATAGCTTCTCAAACAATCATTTTGGGCATGCAACCAAATTATGTTACACTACGTGTATCATGCAAGATACAATGATTCAGATATTGCAATTTTAAAATGTCTGCAACTCTGCGTGTGCATTCAAAGAAATAATAGAAATTGCAGTCACTCAACTTTATTTGATCCTTGCAATTTACTACTTATTGATAAAGTCTCAAATTTCATAACCACGCACAATTAATTTCTTTGATTTTTTGGGAATACCGCTAAAATTACACTGACAAGGGTGACAAAATACTTAGTTGAGATACATGTATATTAACGAATAAAAAATTGATTATTTTGGCAACTGAAAGAAAAGAAGAGTCAGAAGTTCAAAAAAAAAAAAACAAAACAAAAAACAAAATATACCCATATCAGCGTTGTTCTCGGGGGGAAAAGGGGGCCACATATACATGCCCAGTCATCAATATCTTTAACCGAATTAATTTTAGAGACAATTGTTGTTTCAAAAACCACAGGAGTAACATTATAACTGAAAGAAACTTGAAAAATTTAACCGATAAAGTATAAATTTCAAGTACCAAATTGATAATTGAAACAAACTTAAGAGGACCAAAAATTTCATTACTACCCTTATTTACAAAATATTGAAAATGACCAGTACAAAGGAAAAATGGGCATTCAACATTTCAAATATAAAAACACGTTGATATAAAGCTATACATACAAGCATAAATTAAATTAAAAATATAATTCTCAACTAAAATTAAACACCAATCATCATTATTATTCATATTATTAAGCTCCTCTATGATATAAACTCGAGAGTTTTTAAGCATTTCAGATAAAAAAAGACCAATGGAATTTTATTTAAACAAACACAAACCAGGCACACCTTTCCTTTCGTTTTTCTTGGATGCGATGGTGTCAGAGAGAAACCAAGTCATGCCCCCAGAAAAAACCTTTTAAAAAGCTGTGGATATTATTTAGGTTATCCTTCAAACTTCCGTGTTACAGAATGATGAATCTCAAGGTGACACATAAGCCCATGTCATTTGCAATAAACCGCTCAAATTACATTATTTCACAAAAATATTTGTTTCTCATTCTGACTTCAACTTTTTCCCGCATTTGACATGCCACAGGAAAGGTACAAAGAACTAGAACTTTAAATACATGCTATTTGGTAAACCCATTCTAGGCTTTTGAAAGGTACTTCGGTAATCAAAATTCATTCTAAAGCCCATTCTACAAGTACTGAACAAAAATTCACCAAATTACATTTGCCCAAAATGATCTCCAGCATTTGGAAAACACATTTGCCAATAAGGGAGCTGAATAGCATATGACATTCAATTTAAAACTCTAATCACAATTTTCAAAAATTTCTACTTTTAATATATCTTATTTGTATAACAAAAATTACCAATCATAAAAATCAATGTTCTTTATAGTAATAGTAAAAAGCACTCTTCATCATATATAATCCAAACAATCAGTTTATTAAAGAGTTTTGAAAAAATGTATTCACACACAAATTTCATTGAAATAATTAACTATCACTAAACTGACTTTTGCCAAATAAATTTTAGTTTAAAGGGCAGAAATACCCTTTATATTTTTCTCCAGAGGCACCCAACATCCTTATGTGAACAAAGGTGAAAAAAATTTACATGAACTAGGCCTAAACTGGTAAAATGGGCAAACATCCGTTAGTTTTGTAGTGTGGATCCCACAACCATGCCCAGTGTCAAGTTCCCATAGGCAACCATCCACTTCCTCTCCCCTCCTCTCCGTTTCTTTTTTTTCCAATCAATGTCTATTCCCTCTCAACCATTTGATGCTTGGACCAATACGCCTACCTCCTCAACTCTTTCGTCAACCATCGCATGCTCCCTCTAATCATCATTGAGAATTGTCGGAACAGGGCTCACAATGGTTTGAAATGGACAATGACTAAGCAGAAGGCGACGACCACCAACGTGCCCCCAAAGTTCAACACCCCAAGCCCTCTACTTGTCCCTCAGCTCCATCTTCCTCTCTATTCTTACCTCTCATTATCATCCTATAGACTTCCACATGGAGCTTCCCAAGACCTTATTCCTCGCAATTGACGATTGATGAGCACTTCTTGCCAACATTTATGATCACAGGTGGCAATGTATTCTTATTGTTAGAGGGAGATCGGCCTTGCACAATGAGTTTAACAAGCAACAGATTGGAGAACCAAGAAGCAAGAACACCAGGGGGTGCAACGAAAATGTGGATGATTGTGGATGCTGAGGAATCTAGTTCTCCAAGATAGCGGTCACAGTCTGAGGCCTAAGGAGAGGGGAGAGGGAGACAGAAGGGTGAGGACTTAGTTGAGAGAGAGAGAGAGAGAGAGAGAGAGAGAGAGAGAGAGAGGTAAGAGCGTGAGTGTGGAGCACGTGACTAAGCTGTCTTCAACTTCATCATCCCTCCACTCCCCTCCACGATCCTCATCTTCCTCTTGTTCATAAGTGTAGAATGCATGATTGAACTGGTCGTGACTAAACTTGCAGCAATATGTTTAGCACGAGAGAGAAGAAAAGGGATGGTCGAGGGAAGAGAGAGACAAAAAGAAAAGAAGAGAGAAGAGGGAATGTGGTGGAGCATGGGACTGCAACAGCCAGTTAGGGAAGGCCAAAATGCTCGACAACGTCACATGTACAGTAGTGGTTTCTTGCTTAGGAGGCATCATCTCTTGGAGAGAGTAATAATTAGTTGGATTTAATATGGTGATGAAGATTCAAGATGACAATGATGAAAAGGATATGTGGGAGAGAAGAAAAGAAATAGTCAGATGAGACCATTGGTAGAGACTGTAGAAAGAAAAAGAAAAGAGGAGAGAGAAACTGTCAAAGCTTGACACGTGGCATGATTGTGCGACCCACCTCATAAACCTAATGAACATCAACTATTTTTAACAGTATGGGTAAAATTGCACTCATCAAAATACACTTAAGAATACTGAGTCCTCTTGGAGCATAAGTTAATGGGTATTGTTGCCCTTTAACGCTTAAACTTCTGACAAGATGACTTTTGATCAGCAAAAAATCAAATAAGCACTACATTATGTACATCACAACATGCAAAGGAGTTAGGAAAATGAAGAGAAATGCCAATGTGTACCAATGCCAAATAACCAAGGCATCAAGCATGTCGTCAAGACTAGTTAGGACCTTAAGAAAGAACATACTTCCAAAAAATAAGCAATCCTAGTAATACAGTTCTAGGGAAATTGGTTGACAGAGAACCAAACGTTGAAGGAACAAATACAAAAAGGACAACTTGCATAATCTAGGAATCAGCCACTTACCTGACTTTGATATTTACCACCATTCACTTAATCCATTTGTTTTGTTCAACCCTCCCCATTAATCCCCAAAAAAGAACAGTCCTGTCAAAGACCACAGGCTGAGAAATGTGACTAGAATTATGAACCTGACCATTTGACTAATTTGGCCAATTCAAAACAAAAAGAAAAAAGTGGGGATCAGAAGGAATGTACTCAAAGTTCCGATTTCCTCTCATCCATACAAAAGAAATTGCTGCTTGGATTTGATCTGTTAGATTTTGCTCTCATACATATAGCTCTCACTAAAAGTCAACCAAAATGCATCACTATCCATGGATTACTTCCTGTTCCAGATTAAGGATCCACATTCGCGGCAACTTATAAGCTATTGTTTTATGATTAGGTAACTTCACATCTATAATAAATGTTGATCAAAACATATAATGGCACTGCACCATTCCTGGCTTACTCTAGTTTAGAGTGTGGGGAACAAGCTCATCCTGAAGCAGTTCAGTTGATTTGGAAAGAAGACATATGTTTGCAAAAACTAGACCTTTTAAGAGATAAGAGTCCAGTCTGAAGGAGTTACATACAGAACAGACTATGACAATAGGGATCTTTGAAGGGGAATCCAGACAGCCATGATGTGAGGAAGGAGCTCATTATGCCATACATAGAATTCAGAAGAGAAATAGGTCTAAGAATGTATGACATGACCCAAATTTTACCATCAGAAACACGGCTCATGAATAAAATTGAAATATAATGAATCCATGGAGGTCACAAGATATCAAATGTACAAATAAAAACTGAGTGACTAACCATAGGAAACCTCGTGCAATTGAACATCAGTCACATAAATGCAGACAATATGAGAAATTTAAGTCGGACATGAATATACTTACAAAAATAGCAGGACCAAAGATACTGTACCTAAAAAGAGAAAGAGGTAATTAAAACCAGGAGAATTCAATCAAATACAGGCAACATCAACTTTAACCCATACCACAAGGTAAATTGAACAGAAGTTTCTGGATTTAATTACCCCCTGAGATAAGAATTCCCTTCAAGAACACAGCCAAACACCTCCAGTAGAAATGCCTCCGGAATGATCAGGCCATGGATAAGATGCAACGCAATTTCATTAGGATTTGCATAAATTCAAATTCAAATTTAAGAAATAATTGAAATAAAATACTACAAAGATTCTGGACTAAAGGATAAGCTAATAAAATTATCGTCCCATGCACATCTATATTTCCAAGCTAAAAGGACATGCACCACATGCCAAGCAATTTGCATGTTATACAGCTTGATCAATCAAAGGAATACCCACAGAACAATAAAATACACTATTCTTTAGCAATGTCACTCATGTGACTTACTTTCTAAGGCATAGAATAATGCTGGCATAAAGATTGATTCCACAGTACGCGAACCCACATTACAAATTAGCAATGGCAACATTAAGGCTTTTCCAATGACCTTAAATAGACCACACAAGCACAACATTAATTTACAATCAAGAGAAGTGACTAATCTACTAGTGCCTATAGAATTTTAAGTAAATTTTTACTCATTCCAGTGTGGTCAAATTAATTTTCCCAATAAACAAACCAAGGTACCTTCTCCTGAGTGCCATTAAAGCATCTAAAGAACTGGAGGGTTGCCTCACAGCATTGATAGGTCTCCTGAATGAAGAATTAAATTAGCATCTCCAGAATCCAAGCAAATAAGCAAATTTAAGAACAAATGAACTGGCATTAACAGCAACAAATGAGAAGGACCATAATTTATCAAATAGTAACAAAACTAAGAATGAAAAGGTTCAACGAAGGTTGCAAAAGCTAGTGCTACAACAGAATAGCGTAAAACATGATGCAACAGCCAATGTTCAGCAGAAGATCAGAAAAGCAAGTGCTAAATCAAATTTTCCATTATAAAATATAATTGCAAAAATAATGTCCAAAGTACATATACAACTATATTGAAAAAACTAATATACTAAATTACACAATGGCCATACAAGAAGGGGGAAACTGCCATTGGCAAGTTGTCTTACAATAGAAACAGTACATTCCACTGAAAGAACCGCCAGTAAAGTGTACGCCTGATCAGACATCACCCTTTATCACTTCAACATGCCAACAAGCGTTGCTGACACCCCTTGGACGGGGCAGAGAGGATAAATAATGTCAAATGATTAGAATCACTATGAATTGGGTCATTATGTACAAAAATCAGCAAACATCATTTCGCAGACAAAATCAGCAACATTGTTCACTTGCCAGTGATGAATGGGTGGCTTAATGCCTGTGAAACTGTCAACCTCTTCTCTGGATCCAGGACAAAAACCTTGTCCAAAAGATCTTTGAAATTGGCTAACATCTTTGGATCCTCTCCAGGAGAGCCAGCAATGATAGTTCCAATATCTTTGGGCTTTATATTGAGAATCAACCGCTTTATAGCCTACAGAATCAAATTGAAACCACAATCAATAAACTCAAAAATGCATATCCACCTATATAACAAATGACATGGTTAACTTGGGAATAGAATATTTAAAATACTAAAAAAAAAAAAGGTCCAACTCACCTTTTTTGTCACTGGATCCTCTTCTGTAGCAAGAAAATTCAAGTCCTGGTCAAAATGCTGATCAATAAATGCTCCCTGCAAGTTATAAAAGCAATACGTTTCATCAGAAACACCACAAATCCATTACAAGGTACAGGTCACATACACGGATGAGATTAGACAGTCACACCAGAAGATTGAAAAAAGTATGGTGAAATCAATTACTAGCAAAAATGTAGACTCATAAATACTTATTTAGAAGGTTTAAAGATGGCAAGGTGAAGTGACGCTAGGTAGGAGAGAGCTCCTACTCTATTTTTTAAACTGCAAAAGTTTAGATAAAAAAAATAGATAGTCACACACTATTGCTAGAAAACTACGATCTAAGCAGAGTGGAGTGAGTTTGAAGGATGAAATTTCCAATATGACACTTGCAGAGGGGGAAAAAAAACCATATTTGCACAGCTCTATCTAATGTTAGTTATTGATGTGTTTTGTTGGGGGATTTTGGATGATAGGGAAGGAGGTTGGCCCCCCAATCCTTGTTTGGATTGTAAGAAATGGAGGCTCATTTTTTTTTTTTAGGGGATGGCTGTGATAAAATGCCCTTTCCTTTTACGAAGCACTATAGTTATACCTCTCACTTGTGTTCCTACAACTATCTCAAATTCCAGCGTGCATCATTTAACAAATAATTTTTCTTCAAAAAAGCAATAAATACTCCCTTCATTTCATATCACAAGGCATTTTTTAAAAAGTCCAATGTTTCAATATGTAAGGCATTTCATCAAAAATCCCTACTTTTATGGTGTGTTTGGATTAAGGAGAATTTGGATTTAGATTCAATCCTTCATTTAGATAAACAAAATTTTATGGATTTGGATTTGAATATTCTCTCATTACATTTCCTTTGTAATTTCAAATTCCTCCTATACCCTAATCATTTGAAATTCTAATCACTTCAAACACTTTGTTCTCTTCGTGTTTTATTGATCCCTCCATACCTCTCATATCTTTTCTTATCTCTCATTGATTAAAAAATATAGGTAAACTCATCATTTCTGATTTTTCATTGTCATTTTGAATCTCAACTCATCACTCTTACATGCGAAATTTTTTTAAACTACCCAAATAAAGGATTCAAACCCAAATCTAAAATTCTAAATGTAAGATTTTAAATCTAAAATTTAATTCCAAGTCCACCAATCCAAACGCTACCTTAGGGAGTTGCCAATATATAACTCTAGGATTAATCAACCCATAACTCCAACAGATCATTTATTTATTTTAATTTTAACAAAAGATTTCTTTGCGGAAAAAAACAGTAGTTTCTTAGTATAGCTTCTCCTTGCTCCTTTGATACCAATGCACCACATTTTTTGTGATAAATACATAACAGCTTGCTAGAATTAGGTTTCTTAAATTGCAAGTAACGATCAGAATCAGAACTTAACCCAGCCAAAATCCACCAATATGAAGGGGTCAGAAAATTAGAATGCTCCGCCCTATCACTCTTTTCATCCAAAACAATGTTATGCTAAACTTAACCAGCTCACTACAAACCACACTGAGTTTTCTTTCAATTGAAGTGTAAGTTCTAACTTCTTTAACTAATGTGATTGTGTTTTCTTTTAATTAAAGTGGGCCTACTTCAAAGGATCAAATGTTCTATTTTTGGATGATGATGATGATGATGAGGGTTAAGATTTGTATCTTTGGATTAAAGCTTGGATTTGAATTATTCATTTTGGACTATAGAAAATTGTAATATATCATTTAGAGCTTGGATATGTAATGTAAAATATTTTAATTTATCCTTTAGAGCTTGGATATGTAATGTAATAATGTGAAAATTAAAAAGGGGGGGTTTCAGGCTTGACCATAAGCTCCATTAAAATTCCATCCTCTCCAAAAGCGTCAAATCATAATCATATCTTGAATAGGACCAACAAACCAGACCCACTTCATCATAAAAACATTCAAGCTCAAATTCAAACAACAGCAAACAATTCATGGTAAGCAAAGCATTTTTACCTTACGAAGCATCTTCTTTGGAAAAGGGCCCTTCAATTCCATGTGAAGACGTAGCATGTCATTGTTACTAGGACCCGGAAAAAGAACTTTTCCGGTATAGAGTTCATACAAGCAACAGCCTACAGACCATATATCCAGCGGATGATCATATGGCAAGCCAAGTACTGCACAAAATCAAACAAAAATTCAACAGTTGGTAACACCACAAGAACTTCAACATGAAAATAAGGCACATGCATGAAAGGAACTTACTTATTTCAGGGGCACGATAAAAACGACTAACAAGGTATGGTGTAACTTCATTCTTTCCAGCAAACATAGCGTTACCAAAGTCACAAAGCTTCAACACATTTTTAGCCTCGTTCACCTAATGAAAGAGGAAAAATGTTAATTTTTAGTTAAAAACCAAAAGAAATGATCTTTTATAGCAACAAACCAAATACGAAAGCTATTTTAGGCATACCAACATATTGTCTGGCTTTATATCACAATGAAGAACACCACAGTTCCGAAGATGCTTCAGTGCAATAAAAAGTTGTTTTGCGTATGCTCTCACAGCTGTTAGCCTAAGGCCAATATTGCGACCAAACTTCTTTAAAACCTCACGCAGATTCATATGAAGAGATTCAAAAACTAAACAAAGGTGATTCCTGTACTTAAAACTTGAAAGGAAACGAACACAATGACGCTTGTCATCTGGATCAGCACCTACTAATTTCTTTAGTATGACCAACTCATCCATACCAGCCTTGTACCTGTGCCACATTACACACATGACAATGAGCAACAGAGCCATTAGTTAAATGCAAAATATTTTCTAAGGATACAAGGGAATCATTATAACTCACATAGTGTCATTATTACGAATAATTTTTATAGCTACTTCTTCAGGCTCACCATTACCAGCCTTTAGATTCTTTGCACGAACAACTGTCGAAAAGACACCTCTACCATGAGCTGCTATAACTTCATATCGACCATCAAGTATTTCACCAAAACGATAGCCTGTGGAAGCACTGAAACATTAACACCCAATACTAAAACCAGAAAAACAGATGTACAACAGACCAGCATAATTTAAAAAAGGCCAACATCTTTGGGAGTTCAAATCATTTCAGGAAATTTCCCACATCATGTTGACAAAATATACCCGAACAGATCACTAGAAATTCATCAGCAAAGAATTAAGCATTCTTTGGCATTTTATCAATTCTTGACTGTGAATCCTAAATTGTTATGGAAAATAAACTAAAAAACCAAAATAAAATATAAAAATTATAATACGCCGCAAAATTCATAAATGACAATGAGACTCATATCTCCAACACAAAAGACAGGCCAAAAACTTTTAGGATTTCTAGTACTTCCAGGAGACTTTGCACATCACATTGATAAAACATATTCTCATCAACAAAAATTTTGTTACTGCAAGCGCGAGAAGTGTCAGTATGGCATTCTTGGATCGTTTTCGCAATTCTGAATTATGAATCCTAGCTTGTAGCAAAAGGTATCTGGATTTGCTTTTAGAAATGTATAGATACGACCTTGCCTGGGTGCATAGCCAGCACAAGGCCACGACAAGTAGTTAATACTTGAAGCAACAATTAGATTACAATTAACACAGCTACGTGCAATTAAATGTGATACTCACTGTAATACCCCTCTGCATCATCCCAATTGTCATGCAATCCACCTCTATCAACACGCAATCCATCCCCTTTGCCCTGCAACACACGAATACAAATTCTCAATAGATAGTATGAAAGAAGAGGGAGGGTTAAGAAATAGGAACCATTCATGTTACTCTGCTTCATAGTCTTACAAAATTCCTAGGTTCTATTCCCATTTCTTTTAGGAACTAAGAACATGAAATCCACAAATCTCGCAAGAAAATGTAACAAACACATTCAACCACAAAATCCAGTGGCTACTAAAGATTATCTGAATCATATTACCGCCCAGAAGTTAAAATCACCCATCACACTGAATACAAATTAATAATAATACATTTAAGTTTGAAAAGATGTTGTAGATAAGCAACAGGCTTCTTAAAATTAAATGTTCAATAAGTATATAAACTAAGTTTTCCCCAAATCACAATTCCTAAATCATCAGTAACTAAAATATTCACACCACTCATGCAAATGCATTAAGCTTTTACTTATTTCATTTTTATTGAGAGTGGACAAGTTATGGAACTTCAAATACCTATTCACTATCTATAACATCCTATTTTGATAAGCATCAGCTAATAACTTTAAAATGCCATAATGCCATTCCCTGCAAGAAGTGCTATTACTTGTAAAGCAATATCATTACTTAATATGGACCCAGAGACCTGATAGCTTGAGTGGGAAAAAAATGGCTGTCATTATAAAAACACAACAAGTTAACCAAACACCTACCGATTTCCGAACTCCCGTTGGTGTCTCACCAAATATGTCATCACAAAACTTGTCATCAGATCTTTCACTCTGTAAATGTTATAAATAAGCTTCAAAACAAAATAGCTCAAAAAGGATTTGACCAGAAATCCAATATAGTTATGACATTTTTCCAACATACACAATAACAAATGAACAAACCTTTGGAGTACCCTCTCCCAAGCCCCCAGCAACACCAGGGATCTTTTCAGATGCAGCATTTCCATTTTCTCGAGGAGATTTACCAACAGAAAAAGATGTTTCCGCTTCAAAAACATCAACACCATCATTCTTAGAATCAGCAGCTTCAGAAACAGCAGCCGGAATGTTCACAGGATCCTTATCTAATCATAGTTCAAAATGTACGCTTTAGTATGGAAAGTAACCCACAATGGCAAACACAGAATAAATAGTAAGCAAATAAGGGGGGAACAAACAACAAAAATGTTGCACACATATCATCCAAACTTCAGGACCCTATTTATTTAAGTATCATCATCTGTACTAAGTCTCACACATTCTTAGATCATTTCAACAGAACATCACTAAGGCAAATAAAGAAAATTTAAAAAAAAAGAGTAAAAAAGGGGGGGGAACCTTTTTCTGTACTTTCATAAGTTTGTTCTGCTTGTTGATGCTGCAGTGGTTGCTGCTTTTTATATTTCTCCAAGATTGCTTCCCTTCTCCTTCTACTCTCCTCCTTAATTCTATTGAAATCTTCTTCTTCTTGTTCAGCAAATGGCAATGCAACCATCTCATCTAAGTCATCTTGTTCATCCTCACCTCTGTGTTCAAAGGAAAAAAAAAATCAACGAAGTGAGGTATTCCCAAAATAAAAACAAAGAAATAAGAGAAGAGCTTTTTTTTTTGGACACTTCACATATGAAAATATAAATACCTGTCCAGAGGGTTATCAGCTTTCACAGACTCAGAATTTCTTTTTCTCTCCCGATGGCTTTCCGCTTCTTCATGTCTTGAATGCCTAGACCGTACATCTCTGTCCCGGCTATCATTACCATGCTCATTACCCAGATATTTATCTTTATCAAGGGCGTTTCTATCCTTATGCCTCTCTCTGTCCCTAATCTTATCTCTTTCTCGATGCTTATCATCCCTTTCACTCTCCCGGACTCTACCTCTCTCTCCAACCCTTGCTCTGTCCCTGCTCCTCTCTCTTTCCCTATCCCTTCTCTCCCGCTCAGCCATTGTCTCCCAGTTCCTATCTCTATCTCGCTCCTTCTCTCTTCTTCTATCCCTGTCCACCTCTCTTCCCCTGCTCCTATCTTTTTCAGCATCCCTTCTGTCCTTCTCGTGACTCCTTTCACGTTCTTTTTCCCTCCTATGTGCACGGTCATCCTCCCTATTCCGACTCCTTTCTCGTTCCTTTTCCCTTCTTAGGTCCCTATCCCCCTCCCTGTCCTTGCTTCTCTCTCTGTCTCGGGCCTCTCGACTGTAGTAACTGGAACTGTGCTCCCTTCTATCACCTACCATTAAATCTCTACTGACATGTTCACGCTCCCTGCCATGATCCTCTATTCTTTCCTCATCATTCCTTCTCCTGTAATGAGCATATTCTATTACAGTATGAGTATGACCACTTGATCTAGATTGACTCCTACATCTATAGTTAGGTGAGCTTTCCCCGGTCTTATATTTGCCTCCTCCACTTTCAGGGGAGGAGTTTTTTCTATGAATCCTAGCTTTGCCTCCAGTAACCTCCAGGTCTTCATTATCATAGTCACCTTTTAGCTTCTCATTTCCTCTAAAACATCTGAGCTCCCCATGCTGCCATTTATCCTCTTTGGAAGATTTACGATCCAAATACCCATTGCCCAAACCAACTGAACTAGCTCTAGCATGCTTACCATCCAGAGACTCGGCACTTGAATGAGTAGAAGAACCATCAACCTCATTTCTGTCATAACCAGTATGTCTCTGATGGCAAATAGCATCTCCATCCAATCCTGGACTAACAAATCTACCATTGTTAATATCCTCATTATCAGTTTCTAAACCTTTAGCATTGCTCCCTACCGTCTCTTTAGAAGGAACAGCATCTTTTCGATGCAACATCTCTTCAGTGCAATGTACCTGCTCAGAACAAGAGATAATTATGTGCATATGTTACAGGTCCCAACGCGTAAGTAGTTAAGTTAAAGCAAAATGAACGTTAACATAAACACATTTATATCAGTCAATACGTAAAATTAAAAAAGGACACGTAACCAGCTCTTACAAATTAACCGTAAGCCATCAGTCTTCACTGAAACGCCTAGAGAGACCTCTTTTGCAATTCACTCATGTTCGTGTAGTGCAAGCGGGTTCTACATGGCTATGAGACACTGACAGGGTATTCTACCAAACTCTCATGAATCAATAATTCATTATTCAGTTTAAAAAAAACAAACTCCAAGCCTTGTTTGGTTACCAGGAAGTGGATTCAATGAAATACCACCAATCACAAAGAAATTAATATTGAATTTCGCAAACGAAAACAAAACCGAACAAGAAAACAAGTTCTTTGAACTTATAGTGTCAGAATCTCCACTTCCTCAGCAACCAAACAGTTGCGAAAAGTAGAAAAGATAAAGAAAACAATAAATTCGATCAAAACTTACTGGATTTGAATTATCAGATCGAGTACCTCGACCTCCCGTGGCCATAATCTCACCAGACTCAACATCGGACTCCGTATGCTTTTTTCCAACGTCACCATCTCGGCCACCGGAACCCTCCTCTTCGAGAATCTCACCCTCCTCCACATCATCATCAAGCCTAGGGACCTTCGGATCAAAATTAGGGGCAAGAGTAGGAGAAGGAACCTTATCGACAGTTTCAGCATCAAGTTCAAGCTCTTCTTCGCGTTTCCTGCCACTGTGGCGGTGCCGATGATGCCGGTTGCCATGGTGCCGGTGCTTGTGACGCTTAGAGGATCGCTCAACTTCTTCGGGGGAAGATGAGCGCCGGTGCTTACGACGGGAGCCATGTGCATCCGAGGCCATGGACGGATGCGGTTCGCAGGATTATGATTAGGGTTAGGGTTTTGGTCGTGTTCCTGAAACCAGCGAGACAGAACTTGAGGTCAGTGAAAAACTGAAGAATACGAGCGGACGGTCAGTATTGGATCAGATATTATTGGGGCAACTGTTCCGCCCCTTTTGTGGAAATCGGCAGTATTTTGGAATTTATTCCTCTCAGGCCAAGCACTTTTATCCGGGTAGAATTTCATTATCGGACAAGCGTGACATAATTTCAAATTATTTCCAAAAAAATTCCAAAATTATTCTACAAAACTAAAAATTAAATTGAAATTTTGTTTCTTAGAGAAAAAACCAAAATGTACTTGGAATATTTTATAAAAAATAATCCTCCGTTGACTAGATCAGCAAAATTAATTCATCAAATATCATCAGGGGTTTGAACCCAAAATTCTTAGTGCACCAAAAATTTAATAACCACCAAGCCAATGGTGTTTATTAATTATATGATGTCAAATATAATATATAAAATAACACAAACTTTCAAACCAAGACTAAGTAAAATTGTTAGTAATATTACTTATTATTTCACTGATATTAATTATTAATTCAACAGCAAAACTTGTTAGCACTTCCCTCTATATGTTTAATATTGATGACTTGTTGAAACCAAAATTTAACTTGTTATTTTATTAATATTATTTGTCAATTTACTAACAAAACTTGTTAACACTGCCATCTATATGCTCAATCCTTATTAAAACATGTTCTTGGTGTGAACAACAAATACCAAGCGTGTTAGAGACGCTGAGTCTTAATTAATAACAAAAGGGTTCCGAGCTCATTTACTACAGTTCACTCAGATGTAAAAAATATACAAAATTTTGGTAGAACAAGTGTTTGATTTTTTTTATTGAAATGCAAAATGTTACAGCTCTAGATTGAAAGTAAAACTAAACTAATAAAACCAAAGGCTAAAAGGTGTAAAAATGTGAGTCGTTGGTTGAGTGTTGACTGCCCTTCTTTTGTGTCTTTGTCTTTTATTTATAATGTCAAAGTGGTGGTAGCCTCTTCCTTACAACCTAGAAAGTTTTGTTGAAAAATCAAGAATCTCGCGAAACTCATAGCATGATCTTTATTCCGCGTTCTCCATTTTTGATAATCAGTTCGTCTCATCGAGATACTTGGGCACGATGTCCGTGGATTTCAAAATGACTTGGGATCATGTCTTCATGTGCCAACAGTCTAAATTTTGTAACTAGCAGGATTTAGACATGTTTGTTCTATCATGACTTTTATTAAGCTTCAGGGCCAGCCCCTTTATTCAGATTAGGCCTGACTCTTCAATTACTCAGCCTAACTAGCCATGTGACCTATTTGAGTGACGTTTTATATTTTGATCTAAATAATGCCCCCCGCATGCCAGTGGTTGATAACATAAGCCACATGGTATATTTGAAAAAACTAAATCGTCGCTTTATCTCTGAGCATCCTTTGTTAATATAAACTTATTTTTTTGTCACTTCTCTTGCCCTTTATGCCATTTCTTGACATTCAAGCTTTTACTTCCCTTGCTCCAATCTTCCCTTTGCTCATAAATGGCTTCCTCCACTTTTGTTGCTGCCTCTACTGCTACTCCGTCTTCCACATCCACCGAAAGCTTGCCTGATTCCTTGGCCGCTACCTAAAATCTTGTTTCCTTACTCAATGGATTGGTAACGGTATACTTTTTTTGTTAAAAACCCTAATTTCCCCTTGATTAGGTCCTCATTCTAATATTTCTTTATTTTCACTACAGGAGAATTCTTTGTTCCACGATTCCATCGCTTTCTGGTAAGCTCTTTACCTCTCCTGTTTAGCCCTTCTGTTTTATTAGGGATATATATTAACTATTCATTGTCTTTTCAATACTTCTCCTTAAAGTTTCCAAATCTCTAACAAGAGCAACGTCAAGTGCTTGACTTTTTCGCCTAACTTGTCTAAAGTGACTGCCCGCACCCAGTTAAATCCATGATCACTAACCTCAGTCCGAAACTTAATTCCAGCTTGGACGACCTTACCTTTTCCCAAGTCATCTTGCCGAAAGCTTAGGAACTGGCCCCGGTCTCCTCATGCTTGAATCAATTGGGTAAGACGCTTGAAGTAGACCCATGTGTACTAGTGGAAGGAGATAGGTCTCTATGACCTTATCCAGCCTTTCTTGGCTGATGTCAACATTTTGGTCGACCTATTGACAGCCCTTTTCTGAGTTTTTAGGCTCCGAGCTACAACACCTTCATCTTCAAGCTAAGTCCTATGTCCATCACATATGGGACATCTTCATGTACCTGAGGTTGCCTATCACCGAGGAGGAAAACTTCTACATAATCCCTGAGAAGCATGACTCCTACATCAACCTTTTAGCTAAATTGGAGAGCAAGATTAAGGGCACTAGCTCCTATACGAAGATCATGGAGTTGTTCTCTAAGAAGCCGGTCGACAAGCCTGTCACCCTTACGGAGTATCTGGTCTTAATCTGGATCTTATTGAGCAATAGATCTTGGCCCTAGAAGGTGAGAAGCCTGTGTAACTATACCTGAGGATCACCCAGTTTCTCTTCTGTGGCAACCAAATAGCCTAGGAGACCATGTTTTGTGTCGTCTCTATAATGGCGTGACAGCGTCACTGATGAAGAAACCCTTCAGTAACTTCTATGGGCCCATTTAGTTCTTGAAGTTGTGTATGACGGCCTACTTCCCTCTGCTCCGTCGGGAACCTTTCCTTAAAGATTCCCACACCAACCACCCTTTCACTTGCCTCCTGGGTGGTCGGCCTCTGACTAAGTCAAAGAACTTTTTTGAGTTCTTCAATTAGTAAAGTTGGCCCTTGTGAAAGACCTTAAAGCCTTTTAACATTTCAAATCACCGCCTTCCCACCTAGTACAAACACTTAGTGGACCAAAAGAATAAGCCCGCCTTGCTATTAAGGGATAAGGTTTTCCTCTCAGCCACCACTCTAAAAAAGATATGGTTGCCGTACACTGACTCCTCCTCCAAGTCTTTGAAGGTCTACTTGGAGTCTTATCATCCTTAATTAGTGGCGAGTCAGTTTAGATTGAGCTAGTGCATGCCTCATGGGCTATCCCCTCATATCAGTTTGGATTGAGCCTTATCCTAATGTTTGTTGAGGAACTATCTCATAGTTTGTTGAGAGACTTGAACCTAGCTATCTCCACATGTTTGTTGATGAGACTAGTTTAAGGCACACAACACCCCAAAGATTCAAAATGGGGGAAGCTGTGGTTCAAAAGTGAATACAGTAATCTTTAGCCATTCACTCCTCACTATTAGTGAGCCTAGGTAGTCCGATCACATAGACGGAGCCCTGATTGATATTACAGTCTAGAGTTTTAATCAAAGGAAATGAAGAGGGTATAAGAAGGAATTGATCATGCATATGTGAATAAGAGGTGCCATATGATTGATTAGTTTGTGATAAGTCATGATAGTGATTATGTCATTATCACATAATTGTCTATATTGTGGCAATATGCATTGAGATTGTGGATTGGGTCATTGGCACATGTTTGTCTCTTTTATAGTAATGTACCTTATGATTTGACTTGTGAAAAGTGATACAAAGTTAAACTGTGAAACTACAACTCTTGTTATATGTAGTCCTAAATTCATTAAGTGTTCTGGGTGTTAGTGGTAGTTTTTAGTACATATGTGGAGTTTTGGATACTCTTAAGTTGTAAAAAGTGAGAAAAGTTGTGAAAGTATATTTGGGTATTCATCTTCCCTGTGTAAAATAATTTAGAAGTAAAACAGGTGCCATTGGCTAATTTATTGAAAGACACCAAGATCATTTAAATTAGACGTCGAGTAGAGAAATTGAGGGCATTGGAAGTCACCCCTGACTGTTATCATTTGACAACAAAATGCTATTAGACAACGTGGCATAGAGGAGGACAGTTGTGGCACGTCTCTCTACTTTTTCAATCCTTGATATTGTTAATTGATTTTAAGTCTTTAACTCTCAAAAAGTATTTCATACTTCTAAAATAATATTTTAATCAAATTTGAGGCTTACTTTATGACATCTAAAAAATTTTAAGTTATAAAAACTTGGGATCTCATTTCTACAAACTACAAGCTTAGTATTATAAATGGCTTAACCCATTATTACCTTGGATGTTAGAGGAAATCATGATTTAGTATGTGCGATATTATATTTTCCAACTCTAAATGCAAATGCTTTAGCTCAAATTGGATTCTCATACTTTTATAAGCTTATTTAACTCTGATTTTTTTCCTATGACATATTATTGGGATGATTTGAAAGCTTTTGAAAAATTGGATCCCTTATATGTAAATTTTACAAACTTAATAATTAGATGGTGTAGTCCTATGATTATTGATGTTTTGGGAGTTAATTATGGTTTAGTAAGGGTGACCTTACATGATGCATGCAGAGAAAGATATTTGTGATAATCTTATGGGCACACTTCTACACATTAATGGAAAGATTAAAATTGGGATAACTGCTAGGCTAGATTTAGCTAAGATGGAAATAAGAGAATAATTATTTGCACGATAAGAAGAAGGAAAAAGAACTTGTCTGCCCTATGCATCCAACACACTTTCAAAAAAGGAGAAATCAAGCTTCTATAGGTGTATGCACTAATAGATTGGGAGGCACAGCAAAAAATTAAAATTCAAGTCCCAATCGCGATCGCAGACCAATCAAACTCGTTTAAGTCAAGGTGGATGGAAGAGTTACCTTTTATTTTCATACTTTTCACATATTTTCTTTAAGTATTTGGACCTTAAGAGTTGACAATATATATATACTCCATCTATTGGTATCCACACAAATATCATGCTAGCGCTCTCCACATCTTATGTTCGTCTGTTCCTTCAATCAAATGCTCCTTTTATTTTCTAAGATATTTTTATGGCTCTCAGAGTTTTGCCGTCAAGAAATTCGTCCCTTTTATTTATATTATATAGATTAGGGTTTTTGTAATCAACAAAATTAAATTAAATTTATCTTATAAATTAAATCTATAATATCATATCTAATTTAAATTTATCTCATAAATTTAAATTATAAAACTGATATGATATTTTCTTATATCATGTTAGTCATTAATTTTAATATATCATATCAAACTAAATTTAAAACTAACATAATAATA